CTAGGAAGTTGAAGTAAAAATCCCCTAGGCAGATGTGTACAGAGAAATTCTAGCTCCGTTCAGTGTCTTTCTTCGAACACGTATTTATGATTGTTTATTAAATTTACGGCCCACCCCTTCCTCCCAAAGGGGGCCAGGGCAGCAAACACACAAACAATAAAAACATCTCAACACAATTCCGACTGGGGAAGATCTCTGCCCAAGCAACCCATCTCTTGAATATGGTCAATGACTACTGTTCCAGAAAAAAGGAACTTTGCACAGATATACAGAACAGTACTGTTAAGTTGTGGGTGAACATATCAGACGACACAGCGATTCTTCAAACAGCTCTTCTTTATTCAGAGGCCAGAACATAACTGAACTGAAGGGCTCAGTCAGCCTGCTTATATAGAGCTCCAGTACAACGTAACTGTAGCAACTTTCTAAAACTATCCAATCACTGAATGTCACTTTCAATCCTTCATTTGCATAACTATCTACAGTATCCATCCAATCACTGAACATCACTTTCGATCCTTCATTTGCATAACTATCTACAGTATCCCCCTGCTGGCCCAGGATGAGAACTTCAGTACATAACAAGTACCAAACGAAACAAGATAGAGAAACGTAAAGGCAGAATTTCTAATAACTGTATCGCAATGCAAAATGCCAGGCATATAGAACAAAATTCTAAGTTTGTAAAACGAGTCCCTGGCCCAAGTTTCACATGCAGCAGCAAAATATTTAGCCACAGCCTCTGCTTAGAAGGCCATACCCTCCAAAATCTTTCAGATGAAAGTTGGGATATTTTTGTCTGAGGAATGCAAGGTATTTTTGGTTTGGGAAAAAAGCAGGATGGGAGGGGGGATACATGTGCGCCCACTCTGTACATGCCCAAAGGTGCTACTGCCACCCCTTCATCACCTCACATGTTACTGGGTGGGACCCTAGACCTCTCTCCGATCCCGCAAGCTGCTGAAGACTCACCCACCACCGCTGCTATTTCCAATCTGCATCGCGGCCCTTTAAGCCTCTCTCTCAGTCTCTCTGCCTACGGCTCCCAGTGGCACCTTGGTGAATGACATCAGACCGCGCTGCCAAGCTTGGAGCCAGCTGCCATGTTTTGAGGGGCAGAGAGGCAGGATGGGTGAGGATCAGATCCAAACCACCTACTTTGGAGAGTCAGGCCCCATGTGGGCTCCGTGATCTGCCACTGCTCTCTCTCTCTCACTTGCTGCCAGTGCGGCGCTGTGAGGGAGGGAAACAAAGCCTTGAAATCAGGATGTTTCAAGTCAGAAGCTGTGAGGGCAAAACTGGGGCAGTTAAGGGGTATGAAAGGCTTCTTGGAAGAGGAAGGTCTTCAGTAGGCACTGAAAAGAAGTGGGGAAAGTTGCTATTGCACCCAGGACCTGCTTTCAGGCCTCCAGTTGACCTCTGGTTGGCCAGTATGAGAATCAGATGCTGGCCTGATCCACAGAGGTCTTCTTATATTATGTCCAGTGGCTGGGGTTTATAGGAGTTGTAGTCCAGCAAGATCGTAATCTGGTGGACCGGGTTCGCATCCCCGCTCCTCCACATGCAGCTGCTGGGTGACCTTGGGCCAGTCACACTTCTCTGAAGTCTCTCAGCCCCACTCACCTCACAGAGTGTTTGTTGTGGGGGAGGAAGGGAAAGGAGATGGTTAGCCGCTTTGAGACTCCTTAAAGGGAGTGAAAGGCGGGATATCAAATCCAAACTCTTCTTCTTCTTCTTCTTAAGGACCTCAGATTTCCCCATCTCTGATCTCAAGTTGCCTATAAACCCATGATGTTGACAATTGCTTCATTAAATGTTCCTATATTTTCTAATTGTTAGACACAAACAGTGGGATTTTGAGTGGGGTAGTCACATTAGTCTGTTGTGCCAAAAATAACCATCTTGTGACATCTTAAAGATTAACAAATGTATTATGGGACAGTTTGTATGTTTATATTTTCAGAAGATAGAATGATGCACCAATTATTTTATACTGTTTTGGAGGGTTAATATGTCTCTGAGAAAGGTGGAGGGCACAAGGAGAAGGGGATGACAGAGGAAGAGATGGTTGGACAGTGTTCTCGAAGCTACCAGCATGAGTTTGACCAAACTGCAGGAGGCAGTGGAAGACAGGAGTGCCTGGCATGCTCTGGTCCATGGGGTCACGAAGAGTCGGACATGACTAAACAACAACAAACAATGCCTCTGAGATATGACATGGCACCGTTCTCTCTTAAGAGAGTTCTTTCCTGACTTAGGCCTGACCTACACATGTAGCAGTATGACAGACTATAATTTCAATGTTATAGGCAGGTGCCCGGGGGTATATTACATTCTACCACTTGCCCCCATCATCAGAATCACCTCATTCTCCTGAAGGACAGTCCAGGTTTGAGAAGCACCTTCTGCCGGGCTTACTTGCTGTTCCAACTGTTCATGCCCACCATTTTTATGGCCTTGGCTGCGCCATACTAGAAAGCCCAACTCTAGTCTACACCACATGAACTGCCTTGGACAGACTGATTTGCCCTCACTTTAAAAAGTTGCATTTTATAGAAGCGGTAATTATAGCATGCATTGAAAACAAGGGGAAGTGATGCGTCACTGGGCGACGTGAACAGGAAATGGGAACAGCGAGGGGCTGTGGGTGACTCTGGTGGTCTCTCACTTCATTACTCAGAGAAGAGGGAGGAAATGGAGGGGTAGGATGCAGCCATAAACAACTGAAGGGCTTTGCAGTTCCTCACATTTGGGAAGGTGGAGGAGGGATAACAAAAGGAGGAACGATGACAGCTTCCGAAACAGAAACCCATCACTCATCTCTTGACTTGTCAAACTCCTGAAAGTTTAGGGTCTCTGAACTGGTGGAGGGCAGCAAGCTGATTCATGTTGGGTTTTCCTAAACTAGCTAGCTTGGTGCTTGAATAGGTTTCAGCAACGTTCCCCTCTGCAGCTCAGACGGGGCACCATCTATTGGGAATTTCTCCTCGACAAGCCCTTGTTGGAATGAACAGAAGGGAATTGAGGTGGGAAACCCCTGGTGGATAGTGTCAGAGGCTAAACACCCTTCCACAATCCACTTACAAAAGCCAAGTTGAGCAGTGTTAAGAACATAAGAGCCCTGATAGATCAGGCCAAAGAGTCCATCATTCTGTTGCCGCAGTGGTGAACCAGATGGGAAGCCTACAGCACTCACTCCAGTTGTGTGTCATTGTCCTGTGCTGAGCACACAAGGAGCAGAGCTCAGGGGAGTGGGAGGCGAGCCAACCATGAGAGTCTTGCCTGAGACAGAGTCAATATCCAGAGTCAGGTTGGGCAAACAGCAGTCCCAGCATGGTCGGACAGTCCAGAGGTCAAGGAATCCAATGATCAAGATGAACAGGAAACAGCAAGGTCAGGATGACAAGCATTGAATTAAATAATAATAATAATAATAATAATAATAATAATAATAATAATAAATTCCCCAGCCACTCTGGGTGGCTGCAACAGATTAAAAACAGAATAAAACATCACATATTAAAAACAGGGCTGCTTTCAGATGTCTTCTAAAAGTCAGATAGTTGTTTATTTCCTTGACATCTGATGGGAGGGCGTTCCACAGGGCGGGCGCCACCACCGAGAAGGCCCTCTGCCTGGTTCACTGTAACCTCACATCTCACAGTGAGGGAACCGCCAGAAGGTCCTTGGAACTGGACCTCGGTGTCTGGGCAGAACAATGGGGGTGGAGATGCTCCTTCAGGTATACTGGGCCGAGGCTAAAGCCAGCTGGTTCTCATCAGCGCCTTCTCCTCTGAGTCCTTGAAGGCTGATCGGCTGCAGGTGGAGACCCTCTGCCTTCTCCCCCTTCAGGCTGCTGTTCAGCAGGTGAAGCTGGCCCATGATATTGCGGTTCCAGTAACTCATACTCCAAAGTGTACTCCCTTCCTACTGGAGGTAGCACCCAGTTATCACGACTTGTCTTGATAGGCTTCTCTGCGAATATAAAAGGTAAGAAATAACAACCCCATTCTGGAACTGATTTTAACGAAGAGTGTTTCATAGACTAAACAAAGAGAACCTCAGCTCATCAATGGCAACAGGACAGCAATGCTCACTGGATCTAGAAGGGCAGTAGGTTAGCTGAGGGGGCACCAATTTAAGCCATTTTAAAAAGGGGATTAGATAAACCTACAGATAAGGCTATCAAGGTCATGATGGCTTTGTATTGCCTACAGTACAGATGGGAAACCTCTGGCCAATGGGCCTAATTACTGATGGCTCTTATGCATGATTTTGCATGGACACTGTTTGTGTGGGCAAAAGCTGGTTGCCTGACATCATTGTGACAGCCAATGATTGACAGTTGGGCAACCTTGTCAAACATGGCCCCCAGAGGGCGGGAGAGATAATGAAACAATTAATTAAACAATTGATGGTCTTTTAAACTGGGGAGGGGGCACTTATTGTTTTTGCTGGTTATCTATCTATCTATCTATCTATCTATCTATATATATATATGTTTTTATGTTGTAAACGGCCCTGTGATCTTCAGATGAAGAATGGTTTAGAAATTTAATCAATAATACTTTTTTTAAAATGTATATAAAAAACCATCTCTCGCCACCAATGAGCAATATATTTTACATTTTGACAGTAGGAGAAGCAAGAGAAGAACAAGACTTAATTCACAATTTTGGTATATGTGTCTGCTGGAGATGGGCAGAGAATGCATGTTTGTTTGTTTGTTTGTTTGTTTGAAGAATTATTATTTACAGATAGGGGTGCCAACTGACCAGAAAAAAAGCTCCTCTTGAGTCCCTCGTCACCGCGAAACCTGCAGAAATCAGCAGGCAAACCTCTTTTACAGAGCAGCCTGCAGATCCAGCTGCTGCTGCGAAAGACAGAGCCACAGAGTTCAGCTGGAAAGTTGGCAACCCAGTTTGCGGCGCTCTCCTTTCATCTGCTGCAGTTCAGCCACAGTGGAGCCAGCTGAAGTCAGAGACTTGTGGCTTTGGGGAAGTCAGTGGGATGCAGCAACACAGATGGCAGGGATTGCCTGCTCTTTGGCTTCGTGGAACTCAGGTCTCATGATTCTCCATGGGCCATCCCACATCCTGCTCAAGCATCAGAGGATGAGGCAACCCATTTCCCTCCTTTTTTAAAAAAGAACCCCATAGCTGGTTGTGCAGTCCGGAGACCAGTCTCAGAAAGACCATGTGGGGCTTTACTGTTTGCATTTTCTCCCTGCTTGCTGGTGAGTGTCTTTGGAAATATTTTTTAAAATGGTTGGAGTTTGTACATATGGGCTTCCAGGCTCTCTGTAGCTCTAGTGGGTAGGCAAACTAAGGCCTGGGGCCCAATCACCTTCTAAATCTGGCTCGCGGATGGTCCGGGAATCAGCGTGTTTTTAAACGAGTAGAATGTGCCCTTTTATTTAAAACGCATCTCTGGGTTATTTGTGGGGCCTGTCTGGTGTTTTTACATAAGTAGAATGTGTGCTTTTATTTAAAATGCATCTCTGGGTTATTTGTGGGGCATAGGAATTCGTTCATTTCCCCCCCTTCAAAATATAGTCCGCCCCCCCTCCAAGGTCTGAGGGACAGTGGACTGGCCCCCTGCTGAAAATGTTTGCTGACCCCTGCTCTAGGAGCTTGGCTACAGATAGTCTCTTCATCTGGTTTGATGCTTGTTGGAGACTCAGCTCATGAACGCCACTCTCTCTATACAGTGGTACCTCGGGTTACATACGCTTCAGGTTACAGATTCCACTAACCCAGAAATAATACCTCGAGTTAAGAACTTTGCTTCAGGATGAGAACAGAAATTGTGCTCCGGCAGCACGGTAGCAGCAGGAGGCCCCGTTAGCTAAAGTGGTGCTTCAGGTTGAGAGCAGTTTCAGGTTAAGAACGGACCTCTGGAACTACTTAACCTGAGGTACCACTGTACTGCCTTGAACAGGTAGGGCCATAGCTCAGTGGCTCGGTACATACTTAGGGAGCAATCCAAACCCAATATACCTTGGGATGAGTGAAGTTTGGAAAGGGGAGATCTCCAGCTGGGCTAAGCCAGGGCTATGCCAGCCAAAGTCCTACATCCTAACTCAGCTAGAGATTCACTGGTTTAAGTCCTCCATCCTGGCTCAGCCTTCTCAACCAGGGCTCAACCAAAGCAGGGGTAAATCTAAAAGAAAGAAAAAGAAGGGGGGTGTTTCAGGGGTGTGGCCAAAAGAGAACAAGGGGAGGCTTATCTTTATTCCAAACTTGATTGTTCACCTGTAAAGCTCTGATATTGTGATGGACATTGAAAAAAACGTGTTCTGCATTCCTTTCTTTTCCTCCGATTACTTTCCTTGTTGTGTTGTTCGGAAGCTTAAAAATAAAAATTACTGAAAAGAAGCACCTGAAATATCTTGAAAAAACTTCTCTGCCTGAGACCATGGAGAGCATCTGCAAGTCAGAGTAGGCAGTCTAGAGGTTTAATGAACTAACTCAGTATACGGCAGCCATGTGTGAATGCGGCTGATGGCTTTGCCCACTGTCTACTTCTTGTGCTCCAACAAGATATTTGGCGGATAGTTTTTAATGATAATTGATTCTGAAAAAAATATGATCCTTCTTTAATTGGTGCTAGAACCTATTTGTTTATTTCATAAAATTTATACACCGCACGATAGTTGCTAGGTTCATGGGGCAATCAGAATAAGGGCCACTAACTGACGGCAGATTCAGGACTTTAAATTGTGCTCTTATATCAAATTTCCTTTTCTGCGTATACTGTAATGTTTTACTGTTGCTATGGCCATTGGCTAATGCGAATAAAGTTTTATCTCTCTATCATCTCGAAATGGTTTACAAAAGATGTAAAATCAAGAAAAAAATGCAACCCTACCTTAAAACATACGGAAGTTGGAATACGAAAACAGATGGAAATGACCTTGACTTTCTAAGCATCTGGGTAGGCTTGTCTCAACCGGAATGGTTTTAGTAGGTGTTGAAAAGAGTACAGCGAAGGCACCTGCTTAATCTCAAGAGGCAGGGAGTTCCAATGTCTAGGTGCTGCCACACTTTTTACCAATGTGGAACGGGTATTATGGGGCACCTATAATAGTGCCAATTCGAGTTAATACATAGAGAGGAAGGGCACCCTGACACAGAATCATAGTATTGTCAAGTTGGAAGGGACCTCGAGGATCGTCTAGTCCAACCCCCTGCAATGCAGGAATCTTCCACCCAACATGGGGCTTGAACCCATGTCCCTGAGATTAAGCGTCTCATGCTCTACTGACTGAACCATCCCTCAGTGCTATAACCAAACTCTTTGTGTGGGATTCGGCTAGCTGTCTTCTAGTGGTTTGAAAGTTCATTAGCTTACATCTCAGCTCAGCCCTTTACTCATGAGGTGACCTTAACCAAGCTGCTTCTATCAGCTTTAGCCTCTCCCCTGCCACTCCCAAGTACAGTGGTACCTCGGGTTAAGTACTTAATTCGTTCCGGAGGTCCGTTCTTAACCTGAAACTGTTTTTAACCTGAAGCACCACTTTAGCTAATGGGGCCTCCTGCTGCAACCGCACAATTTCTGTTCTCATCCTGAAGCAAAGTTCTTAACCTGAAGCACTATTTCTGGGTTAGCGGAGTCTGTAACCTGAAGCGTATGTAACCTGAAGTGTATGTAACCTGAGGCAACTTTACACTAGTGTTATCAGGATTAAGGAAATATCATATAAACATACACATTTAAAGCACCCCCTGTCCCCGGTCCAAAGAATCCTGGGAACTGTAGTTTTTTTTAAGGCTGCTAGGGATTGCTGCTTGGTGAGGTGCAAACCATAGTTCCCAGGATTCTTTAGACAAGGAGTGTGTTTTAAATGGGATTTAAATGTGTGGTATGTATGGAGCCATAGTTTAAGAGGGATCTTGTTTCAGCAAGTGCTTGTCCTTATGTAGCTGAAACAGTGCCAGCTATGTCAAAGAGGGAGGTAACTTCTTCAGGGGAATCCCAAGGTTTACAGAAGTACAAAAAAAGAGAGAAACCGTAAGAGGAACCTTCCTCCCCACCCCCTATTGAGGACTGAGCATGCTCCATGGCTGTTCTAGAGAAGTGGGGAACCAATGGAAAGCTAGTGCAATGGGAGAATGGAACGGACTACCTGGAAAAAGGCCAGTGTGCCAGCCATGAAAAAGGAGCTCCCCACGCTGCAACATTTTGTTGCAGGTCCCGCTTAGTATTTGTCACACAGTATGCCTTGTGGATGAGTGGGGATCCCAACCCCAGTCTCCTCAGCCTAAACCCAACACCCAAATTGCTACTCTCTTGAGACCGTGCATGCAAACGGCTTTGAACACCCGTGCAACGTGCATAAAGTCATGTTGCTGTTATGGGTGGCGACGGTGTTGTCATGTGCCTTCAGCTTTGTGCCGATTTAGCTGTGCAAAGCTGAGGTTAAGCTAAGGGGGTTGTGGGTCTGTCTTACGTGGGGGGAGAGGGTCCCCTTCTCAAAGCTGTTCTTTGCAGAGTGTGACGGGGGGTTTGCCCATGTGTCGGAGGAACTGAAACTGCTAGCGGTGTCTGTATTCGTGTGTGTCTGGTGGGAGGAAAGGGGGTGGGAATGCAAGATGGTGAGGCAAGAGGAAGTCACAGCAGCTGACAGGAAAACTATATGCACTGTAACCACCGCTCTTTCAGCCTTCACACATTCTAGTGTCCCAGATAACCTCTCCCTTTCCTTCAATGCATCTAGTCCCCAGAATTCACAGCTTGTCCTCATCCCACAAAATAAATAGAGGCGAGGAACCTCAAACTCAGGGGCCAAATGCAGCACTCTGGGCCTCTTTACCTGAGCCTCAGGAGTCTCCACAGGTGAGACCTCTTCTCCAGGCCCCATCCTCTCTGCCTAGGTTGTCCCCCTCACTTGTCCTGTTCTATGATCTTGTCAAAGACCCAGAATTGTGGCGATGCTTCTCACTTGGTGGCCTGCATGGACCCCTACTATGGATAGCTCAGTTGGTTGGAGCATGGTACTGATAATGTGGGAATGTTCAGGGCGGCAGGAGAGGATATATTGTTTATCAATATCCTTCTGAACTTGCGTTACCAAGTTCCTTTACTCAGCAGAGTTTACATTCCCCTTCTAACACACAGCAGATAACTGATTGCAGGCTTGTGTAAGCCTCTCGCTATCATACAGATCAGTATTGAATTGTATGTTCCTGGTAAGTTCCCTTTTATCCCTCTTAAAAAGAATAAAGGCACGGCAATCTTATTTAAAGTCAGTAAAAGTTGTTTACTCACATCAGTTCACAGTTGGATCCCTGAAGGCAGACTTCGTTACAAATATGTACATGTGGATGTACCCCATATGGGGGGTTAACCCCAGTGCTTCTGCTAGCTGGGAAGCTAGCATTTCTAGCTGGTCCAACAACAAAGAAAGTGAAAAAGAGAGTGGCAGCATGCCTTGGCCTTTTGTTACCTGGGCAGGTAAGGTCATGCCCACCTCTAGTCACATGCAAAAGGAAGGATGTTCCAGCCCAGGAGGAAACAGGAAGTTCCGACTGGCTGGACCAAACATCCCCTTGCATGCCCACTCTAGGAAAACAAGGAATGTTGTATTTGACTGCTCCCAGTGGATTATATCCCACAGATAATGCCAGTGTTGCAGGTTCTGTCCCTGACAGCTGCATATTCCTGCATTGCAGGGGGTTGGACTAGCTGTTCCTCAGGGTTCCTTCCAACTCTATGATTCTATGAAACATATATCCATTACTCTGAGCATGTTTTTGCCTTTGGCCTTGCCAGCCAATAATATGCGGACCCCAGAAAGATGCTCAAGAGGGAATGCAGGCCTCAATCTGAAAGTACTTCCCCATCATTGCATGAGAAATCAACTACTTGCAACTGCACCCCGCTTTTCCTTCAGGGAAGCGAGGCATGAGGTTATGACCCATTTTGTTTTCAACAGAGTCTTAACGAGAATGACAGGCTGTAGGGCATGCATGGAGCTTCATGGCTGAATGGGGATGTGAATCCAGGTCTCCTTCAAAGGGATGGGGAGAAATTTGATTCAGTTCACATTTAAAGCCAACTTTGTCACATTCGCACTTTCAGAAACAATGGGGGAACCGAAACACAGCCACCCTTTGAAATTTGCGCTTCTCCGAATTTTGCAATGCCGTTCTCCAACCAAATCATCTTTGCAAAATGCATTGATGAGGAGAAAGTGTGCCCCCAAATGAATATATATTTGAAAATAATATACAAAAATGTAATATATATATATATATATCTTTGCAAAAATATGTACATGTGTCAAAACTGCATAAAATGGGGTAATTCTGCAATAAAATGATATATAAATAGAGAGAGAGATATACAAATCGCTGCAGAAATGTGAAGAACCAACATTAAGATTAGAAAAATGAGAAACTGAGAGACCCAAAATGACAGATCCTTCCACCCTTGTTTCATCCCAATGTGACCATGCTGGGTATACCCAAAATAAAGCCAACCTTGTTTATTTTCATGACAGTTCATTCAAATTGCTTATTGTGAAAGTCACACATTTTTCCTTTGAATATATACAATTATTTAAATTGTCTTACATTCCCCCCACGAACCTTCTTGCAACAGTCCTCTAAGGTAGGCCAGGAATTATTATTAACCCTTTCCCCGCTTCCCCTCAAATACTGATGTTGATGGAAAGTAGCGTTCTGACAGCCATCTAGCAAACTCAAGTTTTAAACTGGCAAAAACAACATAGGGTAATACCCAACGTTAGTCACACTCAAAAGCAAACCCATTTAAATCAGTAGACTCTGATAACTTGTCCATTAGTTACAGTGGGTCTACTCTACGTATTATAGAACCAGTCCCCAGGCAATCTTGTGACACCTTAACAACAAACATTTTAATTTTGATACAAACTTTCAAGCTATTATGAACCTGTTAGTTTCTAAACTGCCACGAGACTTCATGTTATTTTTGCTGCAGCAATCTATTTCACTACTGTTTTGGAAGGTCTGCGTCTAGGCGTTCCTGATTTCACACTCACAGACAGTGCTATCCTGTGAGTCACACGCAGGTCTGCGTAAACACCATATATTTGAAACACATGCCCCCCCTCCAAATTCTGGGAACTCTAGTTTGTTAAGAGTGCTGGGAATTGCAGCTCTGTGAAGGACAAGCTACACAGTTCCCAGAATTCTTTGGAGGAGATCGTGTGCTTTAAAATGTGTTTGAAATGCATGGTATGCACACAGCTTGGACCCAATTAAGTTCAGGCTGAATCCCAAATTAATGTGCTGTGTATAGAATCTCAGCATCAGTCTCTTAGCTACTACACAGAGACTCCTCTTTGTATCAAACCTCCCCACAGACAGAGCCTGTTCCATTAACCAATAATATAGGGCGGTATATAAATTAAAATAATAATAATAATAATAATAATAATAATAATAATAATAATGGACTCAGCTACATTAGTCAAAAAACAGTGATTTGATTGCATTATAAACACACAACACCAGATGGCACCAGAGAGCACAAAACATTTCTATCGCTTTTTTACATAGGTTTTCCTCCTTTTCATTATAACAATTTAATTTCTGACTTCCACCCTTGGTTGCCACCATTTTGTTTTATTCTATTTTTAAATGTCCTTTACAAGTGACACTCCTTTGCACAAACATGATGCTCATATATATCTTTTTAACAACAGACTGTGAGCCAGCCTCCCCTCTCTCTTCCTCAGAGGTGATTGGTGCCTATCCATCTAGGCACATATCATCCTCTTAAAAAGGAGAATTTACCCTAAGAATGGTAAAAGTGATGATCAGAGTGCCCTTCAATAAAAGTTCTCAGGGTGGTGCATGGCAGGGTCAGAATGGGATCACACAAGTAATTCTTGGATTATATAAGTGTTGATAACATTTACATCCTACTGCCTTGTCCAAAAAGCTCAGGGCAGTATAATTGGCTTCTTCCCCCATCTCACTTTCCGCGGTTAACTCACCCTTTAAAGTTGGCAAGGCAGCACAATATTACCGAAAGCCGAAGAGCATAAAGGAATTTTTCCGAAATGCTTCTGATAAAAAGCTTTCTGAAGGTGGCTGACAAACTAAAACATACAAAACATGAATAGTAAAATATGTGTAAAATACAAGTAGCTAAAATAACATCTGATAGACTATACAAATTTAACCCCTTGAGTTGCTTGGGACCAGAGAAACTGGTTGCAACTTGATATTGATTGGGGAAAGGCTAACAGGCTTCCTCCTCTCCAGAAAAAGTTGAAAGGAACCTATTATTATTATTATTATTATTATTATGATGCCATTTGAAGATGTACCAAGGAAGTTCAGAAGCAAATAAAGTCAACAGCAAAATACCAGGAATAAAACCAAAACCAAAACCAGAAAAAATAAAAACACAACTACCAATAAATTAAAATATATAGTAAAATAACAATAAAGGTAAAGGTAAAGGGACCCCTGACCATTAGGTCCAGTCGTGACTGACTCTGGGGTTGCTTCGCTCATCTCACTTTATTGGCTGAGGGAGCCGGCGTACAGCTTCCAGGTCATGTGGCCAGCATGACTAAGCCGCTTCTGGTGAACCAGAGCAGCGCACGGAAATGCCGTTTACCTTCCCACTGGAGCGGTACCTATTTATCTACTTGCACTTTGATGTGCTTTCGAACTGCTAGGTTGGCAGGAGCAGGGGCTGAGCAACAGGAGCTCACCCCGTTGCGGGGATTCGAACTGCTGACCTTCTGATCAGCAAGTCCTAGGCTCTGTGGTTTAACCCACAGCGCCACCCGTGTCCCTGAAACAACAATAAAACATCCATAATTAAAATACATAATAAACAAGCCCATTAAAACAGCATAACAGTTAAGACCATTATGGCTGTGTTCTATACTTATCAGGCTATCTATGTTGGGTCGGAAAATGCGACAGTAGTTGCGAGCCAGGAAGCCACTCCCTTCTTACGAGAAGCAAGTCTGCAGTGCACAGAGAACCCCTTCAGGCGCAGCTGGCCCTGTTGTTACCAAAAGGGAGGCAGCTGCCTCAGGCAGCAAATGTGGAGGGCGGGGAGCAGGAGCGAGGGGCTGAAGGCCAGCTCTGTGGGTGCCACGTGGCCTTCGCCCGTGCCCTGTAAACTAGTCTGGCTCCGGCATTGGGGAAAGATTCAACAGCCATTCTGGGCAACTGAAATGGGTGGGGGAGTGGGGGCAGCTCTTTTGTTATTTGACACAGGCAGCAAAATGCATTTCGTGAGCCGCCCACCCCTCTCTCTCTGCCATCCACGCAAGCAAAAGGCCCTGTCAGAGTTCAAGGACACGTTGCAGCCAGGCAAAAACAGCGAAAGCAGGGCCAACAAAGAGGAGCCCCAACACTAAAATTCAGGGACCTCCAATGAAGCTGAACGTTGGAGGAAGTTTCAGGGCAGTACAAGAAAGTATTTCTTCATACAGTGCCTAGTTGAACTCGGGAACTCACCCTAGTGGTGGCCACCAACTTGGATGACTTTAAAACAGGATTATGGAGTAGAAGGCTATCGGTCAGAAGCAGTAAAGGCTCTGAATACCAGCTCCTGGGAACCACAGGAGGAGAGCGTCTCCACCCGCATCGTTCTGCCCGGATGCTGAGATCCAGCGCCGAGGGCCTTCTGGCGGTTCCCTCACTGCGAGAACCCAAGTTACAGGGGACCAGGCAGAGGGCCTTCTTGGTAGTGGCACCTGCCCTGTGGAATGCCCTCCCACCAGATGTCAAAGAGAAGAACAACTACCAGACTTTCTGAGGACATCTGAAGGCAGCCCTCTTTAGAAGAAGAAGAAGAGTTGGATTTGATATCCTGCCTTTCACTCCCCTTCAGGAGTCTCAAAGCGGCTAACATTCTCCTTTCCCTTCCTCCCCCACAACAAACACTCTGTGAGGTGAGTGGGGCTGAGAGACTTCAAAGAAGTGTGCCTAGCCCAAGGTCACCCAGCAGCTGCATGTGGAGGAGCAGAGACGCGAATCCGGTTCACCAGATTACGAGACTACCGTTAAACAGACCACTGTATTTTAATACTTTGTTGGAAACCGCCCAGAGTGGCTGGGGAGGCCCGGCCAGATGGGTGGGGTATAAATAAATAAATTATGATGATGATGATGATGATGATGATGATGTTTGGGTCTTGCTTGCAGTGGCTGACCACTTTGAGAACAAGATTTGGGACTAGATGCGATGTTGAGCTGATCCAGCAAGCTCTTCTTTTGCTTTTGGGCATGGCTGGGAGTGGTGCATGGCCTTGGGAGAGTCCCGAGGGCCTGACAGAGGGGCTTGGAGGCCACATGTGGTTCCCCGCCCCTGGCAGATGGAAAGAAGGCTTGCCTTGTGAGAAGGGATTGTTATACCTCTGGAGTGACAGTGTTGTTTTCTTTCCCTCTATCCTTTTCAGCAAGCGCCGCCACTGGGACAACAGGTAAGAGATTTCAGCAGATTGTCACGGGGTCCGGAAGGACGGCTTCGTTTTCTACGAGTGATTCACACATATGGAAACAGCTATGCAGCCAAGCGTGTGAAAAACAACAAGTGCACTTGGGCCTTCGAAACCACTGGGTTTCCCCACCCCAAACTCAACCTGTTCCCCTGGGGAATTGGCCTTTGAGTCAATGCTTTCGAGCTGGGAAGGTTCACCCGACTTTGCCTTTGAGCAAAGACCGAGGAGCTCTTTGTCAGGTGCCACACCAAAGCAAGACTCACTGGGTTTCCCCTCTCCCTCTAGGCACCAGCTCCTTGTTGTGATACAGTAGTCTGATTAAGGCATCCGTGTTCTTAAAATCTGGGGGAAGTACGAGGGAGGCTGCCCACCCAGAAGAGAACTCCCCTTCATGGGCACATGTTAGTCTAAATGCATCCCGTTACGTACTGTCAGAGGTTAGGGAGGGAGCCACAATCTGACATCTGTATTTATGCACGGCTATGCAAAGGAAATGGGACGCGGGTGGCGCTGTGGGTTAAACCACAGAGCCTAGGACTTGCCGATTAGAAGGTCGGCAGTTCGAATCCCCGTGACAGGGTGAGCTCCCGTTGCTCGGTCCCTGCTCCTGCCAACCTAGCAGTTCAAAAGCACGTCAAAGTGCAAGTAGATAAATAGGTACCGCTCTGGCGGGAAGGTAAACGGCGTTTCCGTGTGCTGCTCTGGTTCACCAGAAGCAGCTTAGTCATGCTGGCCACATGACCCAGAAGCTGTATGCCGGCTCCCTCGGCCAGTAAAGCGAGATGAGTGCTGCAACCCCAGAGTCGGCCACGACTGGACCTAATGCTCAGGGGTCCCTTTATCTTTACCTAGCATTCAGAAGCTGTCTTATACCAAATCAAACCATTACTCCTTCTAGTTGAGTACCGTCAACACTGACTGACAAAAGCTCCCTGTGGTTTTAGACAGGTAATCTCCCCCAGTCCTACCTGGAGATGGCATGGTTTGAACCCGGGACATTCTGCATGCAAAGCAGATGCTCTACCACTGAGCTATATGGGGTGTGTGTGTGTGTTTGTCCAGATGAACAGTGGATAGATCTTCAGCAGATGTAAAGAAGATTTATTTCAGCAGGTGCTATTTTTTCCTCTGGCACTCATACACCAATCTTTTTGGTATTGTTGCTTTGCTGAAATTTCCGTTTACATGACAGAGGACAGCTCTGACGTGAAATTACTTGCTGCTTTCCTAAGCATTCTTTGGGGCTGAGCAAAAAAGACCTCACCCCAATTCTGGACCCTGTTTGCAGGTGGTGAAATTGGGGTCGAGGCATTTTGTTGAATTTTGTTGTTTTTGGTGGTAGAAGGATTCATCAACAATTTCTTGTGAGGGTTCACCATTCACACCTGTGGCAGGCAGTTTAATTTCCTTCTTGTTCTCTCGGTTTTGTTATCCTTCCACCACAGGTTACAGCAGTGGCAACAGCAGTTTAGGGCAGTCTGGTAGCCATTTTGCGGCCCTCCCTTCACAATACCCTCAAGTAATTTTGTTTGGGGGCATTGTGTGGGATGGGGTGTGTGTGTGGACAGCCTCCACTATAAAAATGGCGGAGCAAATGTTTGACAAAATGACCTCTTTTTACAAGGGGGCAGGGGGCTGAAGGGGGAAAATCTAGGTGAAAATTGCATTAAAACTCTTCTGAAAATGCTTGGTCTAGGTCTCCTTCCTCATGAGGTCCACTCATAGCCTCTGATGCAGGCTTCCTCAACCTTGGCCCTCCAGATGTTTTGAGACTACAATTCCCATCATCCCTGACCACTGGCCCTGCAAACTAGGGATCATGGCAGTTGTAGGCCAAAAACATCTGGAGGGCCAAGGTTGAGGAAACCTGCTCTGATACCATGTAACACAGAGATCATGAATAGGGGAGGGCTATTGTATTCACATTTGCGAGTGGGAAAGGGTTATCATGCTTTTCCATTGAGATTGGACTGGTCACTGTGAGAAGAGATTGCTAGGCAAAATGGGCTTTTGGCTTGAATCAGAATCAGAATCATGGAACTGTAGGGAAGGGACCACAAGGGTAATCTAGTCCAACCCCCTGCAATGCAGGAATCTTTTGCCCAGTTTGGGTCTTGAACCCATGACATTGCGATTAAGAGTCTCATGCTCTACCAACTGAGCTGCCCATCTAATGAGTCCCATCAGATCTTAGGGCTTATCCACACTTACTTTTTGCGCCACACTTTCCAGGCACAGCTCCGCATTTTAAAGCTCTGTGTCTGAGCGTTCTCTCCCCCCATTTTGGAGTCCCCACCCACAAAACCCCGCTCTTTAAAACTGAAGCACAACAAACGCCAATTCAGGTTTTCTGCAGATTACTGTTCGCTCCGATTCAGCAGTAAAGAGCGGGATTTTGCGGGGAAAGCTCTGGAGGAAAAAAAATAAAGAGTGCTCAGACACGGAGCTTTTAAGCACAGACCATGCCTGGAAAGCACGGAAGGAGGGTAATTGTGCATAAACCAGTTTCTCAAGAGGAGGGACAACTTGACGACAAATGGGGACACAGTGCCCTCTGGTGGTGATCTGGGGTCACTGCATTTTGCTGCTGCCTTGACTCGAATGGGAGAAGAGAAGCTGATAGCGTCCATGACCGGTTCTTTCCTCTCACATACAGGGCATTATGAAGACTGCTATCACATCACCACAGGCATCATGATTGCCATTGTGGCCGGAGATGTTGCTCTCACCTTGCTCTTCCTCATCCCTGTCTATTACTGCATACGTCCAAAGGGCAGCAAAAACAGTGACTCTGGTAAGTGAGGCACACTCAAGCTGGTCTCCTGTGAGAAGCAAGACAGTGAAACGGTGGGATCTGTTCTGAAGAACTGTGCCAGTTTGAAGGAATGGCTCTTTGGAAGAAGGGGCAGAGGAAGGGGGTGTGGTGGGGCGGACCGCCCCGGGTGTCTTCGTTGAGGGGAGTGGCATTTGGTGCACCGCCAGTGACTCCTGAGCCTACCCCAAGCCATCGGGGGAAGGGGGAGCTGCGCCATTTTGCTGGTGGCATTTCCCCCTTTTCCCTTTGTTTTGACAGCTTGGGGGATGCTTTGGAGTCGTGGGCGGGTGGTGCGCCAAATGTCCGCCATCGGCGGCTTGCTCTGCCCCCATGGGTGGCTTGCTCCGCCCCTGGCTGCAGGGTGTGCGCGCCACTCCGTACACCCGAGTGGCTATCCTGCACCTGGGTGGGCACCCTCCGCATCCCACCCCCCTCAGGGGTATGCCCTGCCCCCCTCAGGAGTGCACCCTGCCCCCCTTGGGAGCGCGGGCATATGCTCTGCCACTGTTTGGAAGGAGTGCAGATTCATAGCCCTTAGCGTCCCACAGGTGGTTTCTGAAGCCTGTTCTGCGGTAGAGTAATTTTTATTGATTGACCTCCCACTTTTCAGCCAAGGAGTTCAAGGTTAGCAGACTTAGCACCTCCTCTTTCATTTCCACCTCACAATAACTCCGTGAAATAGGTTAGGCTGAGAGATCATGACTACACTAAGGTCGGCCACTGAGTTCCATGGCTAAGTGGGAATTTAAACCTTGGTCTCCCAGGTCCTAGTCCTTTGCTCTAACCTCTAGACCATTCTGGCTTTCATAAAAGGTCTGATTGAAAGTGCTAATAATTAACACACACTCCCCCCAAAAAGGGTAGGATAGAACCAGGGCAGAAGTTATTCTCATTTTTTCTTTTATTCATACGTTTCAAGTTTATACATTTCACTAATTTTACAATCACTTTGACATTTCAAAGCTTGACTTCCTTCCCCCTTTTTCTGTGGTTCCTTAAATTTGTTTTTAATATCTTCTGCATATCCAAATTAACTTAATTTACTCATTTATTTGTCTTCTTTAAATATATACTCTTATAAAACTGCAGGTTATTACAACAATCCTGTCCATGTTTTTATCTGTTTATAATTTACCTGTAAATATTCAACAAACCATTTCCATTCTTTTGTTATTTTTTATCTTGATTTCTTATTCTTCCAGTAAGTTTTGCCATTTCTGCATATTCCATAAGTTTTTGTATCCATTCTTCCTTTGCTGGGACTTCTGCTTCTTTCCATTTTGGGGCAAGTAACATTCTTGCCGCTATAGTAGCATACATGAATAGGTTTCTATACATTTTAGGTACTTCTGTCCCTAAAATTCCCAAAAGAAAAGCTTCTGGGTTGTTGTTATTATTATTATTATTATTTACAAAGTTTACAGTGGTGCCTCGCAAGACGAAATTAATTCGTTCCGCGAGTTTTTTCGTCTAGCGAATTTTTCGTCTTGCGAAGCACGAAATCCCATAGGAATGCATTGAAATTCAATTAATGCGTTCCTATGGTCAAAAAGTCCAAACAAAGCCAAATTTGGTACAACAAGAGTTTATTAAGTGCTCTTTAAAGTCACACATACTGTAAAGAGCATTTCAAAAATTGAAGGAACAATAAATTAAGTTTCTAAACATGACAGAAAAACATTTAAAAATCAACAAAGTGTACAGTACATTTTCTAAGACTCTGGGGGACAACTCGAAGAAGGTTCCTCTTCCACTCTTTGCTTCTTGCTGAAAGTGCCCCTCCTCAACTGTTCCCCCAGCCACCCACCACACAGAAATTCAAATCCAGAAATTTTTTTAAAAAACAGCAGAGTGGCCCAATGGTCACAGAAAATCATAAAAATGCAGGAAAAAAACACACAAGCTTCCAGATTCTTGCAAACCCCTCCCCAACACCAAGTCCTTGAATTCCAAACACCCCAACCCAAAATCCAAAAACCCCCCAAAAAGTTTTAAAAGTTTAACTTACCAAATGGCTGCAAAAGAAGTTTTGGAAAAGTTTTAAAAATCACCAAAGTCTTCAAAAGCTTCAAAAAAGGCTACCACACCGCGTTCTATGAGTTGCTCCTCGAAGTCAAGTCACAACTGTATTAACGGTGTTAAGAAAAGGAAACAAACTTGCAAGACGTTTTCGTTTTTCGTCTTGCGAAGCAAGCCCATAGGGAAATTCGTCTTGCGAAGCAGCTCAAAAAACGCAAAACCCTTTCGTCTAGCGAGTTTTTTGTCTTGCGAGGCATTCGTCTTGCGGGGCACCACTGTATTTTAAACACCCTTTTCATTTCATTATATATCATTTCCCAGTAAGCTCCAGGGCAGAAGTTATGAGAGATGCAGGGCCGCCACTGAAAGCTGTGACCCTGTGCTCTCCCTGGTAAGGCCTAGAGGGGCTAGCCTAGGACAATTTGTTGCCTGAGGCAAAAGAAAAAATGGTGCCCCTGCTTCTGTATACAGAAGCCCTACGAGATCTTGCCAGAACCCAGAAGCTGTGGCTGTGCGACCCTGGTTAGCAAGGCTTGGGTGAGGGTGGCAATGATGGCGGGTGGCATGTGTAGGGCAGCACCCTTCTATTTTGCCTCAGGTGGCGAAATGGAATGCTTTGCAGCCTCTCTGCTGCTTCCTGAATAGGCATGGGACGATGCCGCACAAGACAGAGGTGGGTTCCCTGGTGAGAGTGCAGGATCCATTGGCTTACCTGGAAAGGTTTACCTCCCCAGGTAAGCAGCAGCAGTGCCGTTGTAGGGAGGGTAGCTCCTTTTTTAATATAACATTTTATTAATTTCCCAAAAACAACAAAGATAAAACAATAACAATATCATATTGAAACAAAGCAAAACAAATTGACTTCCCCCAGTCCATTCCTTGGTTCCATTGTTTATCAACATACTGCATGTCCATTGTAAAGTTATAAACCATTGAATTACTTATTGTCCATTCAAAATTAAATTACAAGTAGTCTTAAAACCCTGCTAATGTATTAACCTGAGTACATTGCTTCTGAATATATGCAACAAACTCCTTCTCTTCTTCCTTAAATTCGTTATCGTTTCTTCCTCTGAGTTTCATTGTCAATTTTGCCATTTCAGCATATTCCATTAATTTAACTTGCCAATCTTCTTTAACTGGGACACCTTCTTCTTTCCAATGTTGTGCTAATAATATTCATGCGGCCGTAGTTGCATACATAAATAGATACTTTAGTGGTCTTGGTCAATCCACTCCTGTAATACCTAGTAGGAAAGCTTCTGGTGTTTTTTTAACAAGGTTATTTTAAACATCTTGTTCATTTCATTATAAATCATTTCCCAATATTTCTTCACAATTTTGCAATCCCACCACATATGAAAAAATGCCCCTTCTGTTGTTTACATTTCCAACACTTACTTTCTTTGGTTTTGTACATTTTTACTAATTTGACTGGAGTTAGATACCATCTATACATCATTTTCAGGGAGGGTAGCTCCTTGGCTGTGCCCGCTACGCAAACCATTGCTGGTGTCAACCCTCTGTGCAAACTTAGCCCCCATATCCAACCTAATTGTGAATCTTTCCATCTTTCTCCAGGAGAAATGCACAGTTATGTGAACGTGATTGGAATGAATAAATGACACTCCTTCCCATTTGGATCTCACCACAAGTATCCAGCAGACATGACCAAAATCAGCACCTCTACAATACATTTGCTAGCAGGGGAGAGGTCCTCTTTGTGTTGGGTGGGCTGAAACCTGACATTTTGGGTGTGCGAGGGCTTTGGTGTTGTGTCTCTTAATGGGCAGAATTTAGCTCCATCTGTTGATGTGCATTTTATTGTGAATTCCCACTGATACAGTAATTTTTTGTGTATTTTTTATCACTAGCAAAAGCCTTTTTATCCAAGCTTTATATGTGTTTTTGTACATACTGAGCTGTCTTCAACTAAACATTGCTCAGAAGAGACCTGTTAAAATTAATAGGCCTAAGTTAGTCATGGCCATTAATTTCAGTTGGCCCTCTTTAAGTAAAAGTTAGTTGAAAACAACCCATAATGTGGCTGGAGCTTTGTATTGCAAAGAAGTGTGAATTTTGAAGAATGGCTGTATGTCAGTTTGTGTATTGTATCATAAAGCGCAAATTAGAATAATTGAATCATAGAACTGTAGAGTTGGAAGGGACCACAAGGATCCTTTAGTCCAAACCCCTGAAATGCAGGAATCTTTAGCCCAATGTGGGGCTTGAACGCACAACCCTGAGATTAAGAGTCTCATGCTCTACCACTGTATTTACTGGCACTGACATAATGGAACATAATGGGACATAATTTCTAGCATAAACATGTTCTAAAATTCCTTGGACTGAGACTGTTATTTTGGTACAAAAAATGCTTCTGTGTGTTTCCTCTGAAATATAAGGGCACAAGGGGAGTCCAGGTAGATCGGACCAAAAGGTCCATCTAATTCAGCATCCTGCCTCTTGTAGGGTCAGGGCCGACCCGATACATTTTGCTGCCTGAAGTGAAGGGCAAGCTGACACCCTCCTGTACCATTTACAGGAGCTCACTTGACTAGCAGCTAAATTTCCAACACTGGCAATAGGACATCTTCTACTGTATCTGAGGGCAGTGGGTTGCATAGGCACACACCTCCCAGCACCTTGCCACCACTTCCTGCCTCTCAGCATTTGCCACCTGAGGCAGTCATTTCCCTCTGCCTAATGGTAGGGCTGGCACATGGATTGGCCTGCCCTGCTGGAAAAAATAATAATTCATGAACAACAGCTATTCCACCTGAAGCCTCAAGATGGTGGTACTGCATACGTCTGCTATGATGATTCGCATTCAGCTTATCTTCCCTTCCTGCATCAGGCTTGCAGTTTGTGGAACTGCATTCTCTTCCACAAGGTCACCTTTGGGGGTGAAGTTAGCAGTCAGACCTCTCTGCAATGCTGTGGGGTGTTTATATTCAGCATATGTGATCCAAAGATAAAAACGAGCACGACAAGTTTCTCTGTCTCATTGCGATTAAGGGTTTTCAGAGGCCCATCTTTCTAGCAAAAGGATAGCGATGAGATCTTAGGATACAGCATTTAATTGCATCCAGTCTTTGATACACTAAACTATGTGAAAAAGTCCATAAGAAGGAAGCACAGAGAATTTGTAGCTTATATAGTAACAGCAACCAGAATAACACATGCAAAAAAATAAAAATAAAATGAAGGCAGATGGGTATACAGTGGTACCTTGGTTTGCAACCACATTGGATTACAACCATTTTGGATTACAACCATGTCAAACCCAGAAGTGCGTGTCCCTTTTTTTGGATTACAACCCATTTTTTTGGGATTACAACCAATTTTTTGGGGGGAGGCCCCATTGGCAAAAGCGCGCCTTGGGTTACAACCTGTTTTGGTTTACAACCGGACCTCCAGAAGGATTATGGCTGTAAACCAAGGTACCACTGCACCTTCTACCACAGAATGGTATGAGAAAGTCTGTGAATGGCAAAAACAACCCTGAGGTTAAAAAAAAAGGGCAACAGAAGCAAGATACTGTCTGGAGGGAAGTTGAGACATTTGTATTCAGTGTAACAGGTTTAGGAAGGACATACAGTGGTACCTTGGGTTAAAAACTTAATTCGTTCTGGAGGTCCAGTCTTAACCTGAAACTGTTCTTAACCTGAGGTACTACTTTAGCTAATGGGGCCTCCTGCTGCCACTGAGCAATTTCTGTTCTCATCCAGAAGCAAAGTTCTTAACCCGAGGTACTATTTCTGGGCTAGCGGAGTCTGTAACCTGAAGCATATGTAACCTGAAGTCCCTGTAACCCGAGGTACTAGTGTACTGAATATAGGTTATGGATTCACACTGTTTTGAATATAAGTACCAGTGGTAGCTTCATTTCTGATTTGCAATATAAAGCATGCTTGATGCTGCCTCTAGTTCTTTCTCTTGTCATTTATTCCTCTTTATAGTCATCATAAAATTTAAAAAATAATGACACCAGGAGTCCAAAGCAGTGCCTGAAAATACTGGTTGATGAAAATACACAAACACGGCTTCACAAAGACATCTTTGGTTATGCAAAGCCAATGTGCCATGTCCCTGTTGGATGCGCTGGTCTGGGTTCTGGCAACCTCAGGAGAGCAGTCTTGTGTTCAGGTGCTGCTTTGGGGCTTCCCATAAGGAATCTGGATGGCTGCTGCGAGAGCCAGATGCTGGACTAAAAGGGCCACTGGCGTAATCTAACAAGCTCTTCTTACATTTGTATGTTTTTTTGCATTTTGGGGAAATGGAGGGTGGCTGCAGCTTTGCCAAGCCCTTTGCTTTCCAGGACGAGCACTCCTGGCCTTTTGCCCTAGTGAGAAAGTTGGGGAGGGGGAGAGAAAGAAAGGGATGCCTGACTCTGCCAGTACCCATCCACATTCAGTAAGTTTAGCAGGGAGCAAGCGGGTGGTCATGATGAAGAGCACACTTTGCTTATGCATGGTTGTGGTCCTCGTTGCGCAATGGGAGCACTGCTCAGTGGCAAAGCACCTGCTCTGGATGAAAGAGGATCTCAGTTCAATCCCTGGCAAATCCAGTTAAAAGAATCAAAGGGTCAAAGAAGCTTCTGGGATCACAGGTAGGTATGGACAGAGGCGTCATTTTTGGTTCTCCAGGTTTTTGCTTTTCCCAATCTTAAATCAATTCTCCACATTTCTGCAGTAATTTGCAGGGTTTTAAAGAAATCATCATGCATATTTGTAATCATTCTAATGTGATTTTCTCCCAATAAACACATTTTCATTTGGAGTTTTGACATACCAATTGCAAGCAATTTTCTTTAATAAAATGCATCTTGGCATGCAATTTTCACCAAAATATGCATTCATATGCACATTTCACATTTTTTTTACCTGTTGTCCAATTGAAGAACTGCATTGCAAAATTCAGTGCAGCACAAATTTCAGAGAATACCTATTTCAGTTCACGTATTTGTTTGAAGCATCCAAATTGGGTAATTTCTCATTAAAATTCTGCAAACAAAACTGAATTTTAACTCCATGCCTACTGTGGCCCTCCAGAGGTTGTTGGACTCCCCACTCCCATCAGCCCCAGTCACAAGGGGCAATGGTCAAGGATGATGGGAATTGTAGTCCAGCCACATCTGGAAGGCAGCACCTTACAGCTGCAGTAGTGGGTGGACTGGACTGCTGAGTTTGATCAGTGGTCACTTGGTGTGACAGAGAGAAACTTTAAAAGGAGCTGAGAGAGAGACAGGAAGGTCAGATGGTTTGAGTGAGTCACATCATGTGCTTCTTGCTGGGCTGTGGCTTCAGCCAGACCACAGGGACTGTCGTGCTGATTACCCCATGTTCTCAGACAACACAGGAAATATGGTAATACTCTAGCTACAGCACACCACACAGCTAGAATGGAGCTTGTCATTAGAGCAGCAAGGAGGCATCAGAAAACCAGGTCTGGCCAGTCAAGAGGCTTTTTACTGCCAGCCAACTGTAGGCCACAGTTTTTGCACACAGCTGTTCTTGGTTGGACCAGCAGAGGATACTGAAGCTTGGATACCCATGGTCACTCACTAAGTAAGGTTCCCATCTCCAGAGCCATATATGTGTGAAAGTTTAAACATAGGGATAAGGGTGTGCACACAAGCTCTGCCCCCGATGTTCTCAATGGACTGTTAGTCACATGAAGATATGAAGAGACTTTTCTATTCATAGGCATATATGGCCTAGGGGAAGCTTTGGCCCTCCAGATGTTGCTGAATGACAACTTCCATCAACCCTGATTATTGCCCATGCTGGTTGCGGCTGATGTGAGTTGGAGACCAATATCATCTAGAGGGCCACAAGTTCCCCAAATCTGACCTGGGACTGGGTTACTTTACCCTACAGCCCAGCTAGAAGAATGAACCTGCCTGAGATGGGCATCAGGGGCCGTTGTCTCCAGCCTGACATTTGCAAGGATTTGCTGTCCCCCCAGGAAATCTAAAATGCCCCATTTCTGCCTATTTTTAGGAGAGATCTGAAGATGCTTGTGTTCCAGAAGGACCTTAGCTTTATGCTGGTTTCTTTGATTTCTGTACCGAAGTGTGTGTGTGTGTGTGTGTGTGTGTGTGTATTCAATTTGCTTTTCACCATGGATTGTTTTAGGTTTCATTTTATTGTTGCTCTTATGTATATATTGGGCAGGGCTTGCTAAATTTGGGGGTCAAACGATTAAAACAAACAAACAGGTCCAAATGAAATGAAATGTTTGGGTCACTGCTGGCGTTGGAGAAAAGGAGACGCTGTTAACCTATCTGGGGTATCTGGGGTGCGTTGAGAGGGGAAGACATGCTATGTTACAAGTTCAAAATATGTCCTTCAGATTGGGGCAGCCTTAAGCTAAGAATCATTTGTTTGTGGAGCTAGGAGCAGGTTGAGTGAGTGGCAAGGATGCTGTTCTTAAAAGGGCCATAGCTCAGTGGTAGAGCAGCTAATTTGCCCGCAGCAAGTCCTAGGTTCCAATCCCCAACATCTACAGATATGGCTTGGCATGAAAACCTTATCATGGAACCCTGGAGAGCTGCTGTCAATCAGTCTTGTCAATACTAATCTAGATGACTGATAGTCTGACTCAGTACAAGGCAGCTTCCTGTGTTAAAAGTGCCCTGCCTAAGCAGCAGCAGCTACTCACTTTTTGCCATTGCCCACCATCCTGCCCACCCAACATAATTCTTTAGGTTCAGCCTTAGCCCAACTGCTGATTCCTCCAAATCGAAGAGCAGGATCCTCTCTGTAGGAAGGAATGAAAAACCTCTTTCCCCACCCCCTCCACAGCAACAAGGCTGTCTGTGGTCTCACACTGCTTGCTCCTCCCGCTGAGAAAGATCAGATTAGAAGCAAACACAGCACGCAGTGAATGGTTACCCAACTCTTACTTTGCAGCCTGTCTCAAAAACAGAATAGTTAGCCCACACTAGATCTAACAGACTGGATGATTTTGCATCTTACATTCTGATTTCTCAGCCTTGCCCTGTCACCCCTTTTCATACATCAACTCTGACAGCAACAATGTTATAGATCAGGGCTTTGATTGCTTTTCTGCGCTTTCTCCCCACTGCTGAATGTCTGAAGCGTTTGGAATCTGAATGATCATAACTTAGCAGATCTAGACCAGGAGTAGTCAACCTTTTTATACCTACCACCCACTAATGCATCTTTCTTGATGGTCAAATTTCCTTACCGCCCACCAGTGCTAGATGGAAGGAGGATTCAGCTTGTGCCGTAGAACCCCCTACCGCCCACCTAGAATCCTGAAATGCCCACTAGTGGGTGGTAGGGACCAGGATGACAACCCCTGATCTAGACTAAAACATTCAATCGGTTTCATAGCAGCTTTACCATCAAAGCATCCCCACATAGGAGTTTGGCAGCACCCACTGGTGAGGATGCTTAGAATTCTGTATCCATTCCCTTTAGAGAATCACAGAGTCATGAAGGACAGTTGGAGAGGTCCAGAGGGCTACATTTGTCCCCTGGGCCCCATTCACCCCACCCCTCTTCTTAGGGACATCAATCACAAAAGAACAGAAGCAATGTGTCATGTCCTATGAGTGTCTGGAAATAATTTCTCAATGGCCCTGGTGGATGGGGATTACTAACAGGAAAATCTAGAGCAGGACTGACAAAGAAATAAAGTGATCAAATAGGGGTGGCTCTCTTCAGTAAAAAAAACAAACAAACTTCTGCCCAACCCTTATTGGGTTATATATTTCAGTCCCAGAGTGTCCCGCTGGACTTAAGGAGTCTCTTGCTTCTTTCACTATAAATCGGACAAAAGTATCAGTTTACAGCAGGGGTAGCCGGGATTCAGGGTTTTTTGTGTGTGTGCTACAACTCCCCAGGTCCATCAGTGGGAACCAGGAACAAAATAAAAATAAAAATATCTGGTGGTAGAGCCAGATGTACAATGGGGGTCTTAGGACTGGGGAACATGCTGTTAGACTATTTATTTTTGGTACTACAACTCTCATCATTCCTGGCCATTGGCCATGCTGGCCGAGGCTGATGGGAGCTGGAGTCCATCACCAGCCTAAGAGAGCTACAGGTTCCCTATCCCTGTCTTATGGCTATTGAGAAGATATGAATTGTGACATATTTGTAGAACAACAACACAAAAGCATGTTTGATTTGTTTAATTATTTATTGGAATAATTACACTGCATTTTTTACAATATATATTTGGCATATTTGATATAGGCATCCCCCATTTGCACTGGGGTTACCTTGCAGGCCCCCACGCTCATAAGCAAAATCATGAAAATTGGGGAGTGCCCTCTAAAATGCTTCCGAATGTCCATTTCCCCCTGCTCTCTGGCTCTTTCTCCATGACGCTCTGGAGCTGGCTGGAGAATGCACAGGAAAACGGCAGCTGCTGTAGTGCTACCCCACACATCAGCTGCTAGGTGGTTTGCAAATTATTTTTTATAAGTCCTCATGAAAATACATCAGCATCATAGTGCACATTTCTTTGAATAGATTTTTTTTTGGTATGCAATTTTGCCTAAGATGCCCACTTTTGCAAAGCTAGTATCATGCATGCTTGTGCGTCATTTTCACAAATATATGCATTTATATGGATGGCTTCCTCATATATATGGATTTTTGGCTGGAGAACTGCATTGCCAAATTTGGGGAAGTGCAAATTTCAAAGGAGGGCTTTGCTTCCATTCATGCATGGTTTCTGAAATTAGGTAAGTTGGCCTTTAAATGTCAGCCGAAATGGATTTCTCCTCTAGTCTTATGCATGACACAGCATTACCTGGGATTTGGCCACCAGCCAGAGTTTCTATGCTTGAAGAAGGGGGTCCTGGTTGAAGAAAGGTGGGCTCACATGTCCCAATCCCCTCCCACCAAGAGCTCTGCATTGTGTCTCAACTCGTAGCAGTTCTGACCATGTTGCAATTGATGCATGTGGGTAGGTGGGTGGGGACGGGACAGAACACGCTCCACAAAAATAGAGCAGACGATCTCTGTGGAGGAAGTTCTATATTGAGAAGAAGCAAATGAAAGTTCACAGTTAGAAAGCTCTCCTTAAAGTACAACTTCTGAATAGGCCTGCTGAAGAGGAGAAACTGAACAGCAATCTTGTACAGTGGTACCTCAGGTTAAGTATTTAATTCGTTCTGGAGGCCCGTACTTAACCTGAAACTGTTCTTAACCTGAAACACCTCTTTAGCCAATGGGGCCTCCCGCTGCTGCCGCGCCGCCGGAGCACGATTTCTGTTCTCATCCTGAAGCAAAGTTCTTAACCTGAAGCAACCTGAAGCACTATTTCTGGGTTAGCGGAGTCTTTAACCTGAAGCGTATGTAACCTGAAGCGTATGTAACCCGAGGTACCACTGTACGTAGAAGCTCAAAAGAGCAACACAGAGAAGGAAGACTATTTGTAGGTTCCAGGGCCGGGATTTTTGAGGTCACTGTAAATATCCACCCCACGGACTTGGAGCTCCTGTAAGGGAAGAAAGAAGCAGAGTTTCAAGGCATATCTTCATTATTTGGCTGGCTGAATAGTCATTTCTTCTCCTTTGTCAGAAGTGCAGCAGCTGGGACAGGGATGTCTATTATAGGGGGTGGAAGGGGCTTTGGTCCTCTGTCTGAATGAATCTTCTTTTTGATAATTTGCTGCTAAGAATGGAGAGTAAGGGGACTTTACAGTGGGCAGGAGACCTGGCCACCATCTGCACACCCTATGGGATACATACATATAAATTACTACATGAAAATTTTATACCTGACTGTGATTTCCCTTCTGGACATGCATTTCCTCATTTTTTGGGCAACGAATTGGAGGCAACCCTGACCGCTATGTGCATATGCATGCTCCGTTTTGATTTTCTGCCCTGGCACTATAATTTATTAATTAAATAAATTTCATAAAGTCTATATACTGCTGGACGGCAAAAAACAAAACAAAACAAAAACCTCAAAATGGTTTACAAAAAATAGTAAAATTATCAATAAAAATGTTTTTTTTTTAAGCTATTGAAAATAGGGAAAAAATTAAAAACAGCAATAAACTAAAAACAGATTAACACGCACACCAGCATTCAACCTATCAGGGTATAATGCCTTGGTTTGCCTTCCCATTGTGGCAATGATTCAGGGCTCATCGTCATGGCAACGGCTTGGCTCATCACAACAGGCCTGCTCAGTAGGCCTCAGGGTCAAAGCAAGGAATCACATGGTCACACTCACCTCATATGGGGACTCATGAGGAGGGTTCTTTAGGTCTCCTAAGAAGAAGAAAAATAAGTGTTTGCATGTGGGAGAGAAACAGTTCTGCCTCTTATTCCATCTGTGTAGATCAGGTGCTGCTAACCCGTCACCCTCTGTATGTTTTGGGTGAAATAGCTGGAGGATGACAGGCTGACATAGATGCTATTTTTCAAGCATAAACGAGACTCTGGTATTTGAGAGTTATATCAACATTTGTCAGTTACGTGTCTGAGGGCTTATCCACACATCCTCTTGTTCTGCTGCTTCCCGCCGCCCCCGGGAAAACCGCTCTTTAGCTCTCAATCAGAGCAAACTCCACTTGGGTATTCTGCATAATGCTGTTTGTTCTGATTTAAAGCTAAAGAGTAGGTTTTCCCTGGGAAAGGAGCCAGGCTTTCTAGCTGTGGGATAAGCAGAAGTGTGAATAAGCTCTTAGTGTGAGCCATTCCTCTCAGATATTTGCCCAGCACACCCCCTAAGGTGAAAGGAGATACGGTATTGAAAGATTCACCGGAAGGGCCATTTTTTTAAAAAAAGTTGCTATGGGGGATCACCTCAACTTTCATCAGATATGCAGGAGGAAGGTCCTCCCCACCATGGTCCTGAGGTAAATAACCTCTCCCCTCTCATGAATGCTAGGCACCTTATAATGAAAACCCCTAGTTCACACAGTGGGGGGATTTTCGTTGAGACTGTGGTGAGAGAGGAAGCATAACTCCAGCGGCTGCTTCCTTCTGTTCCTCCACCTTCCATGAAGGGAAGAAGGGGTGAGGCAGCCTCTCGCCGGTGGCAGCGCTAGGAGGAGGCAGAGGAGGAGCCGTGTGACCACAGTGTCTTGCTCTTCCCGATGACCTCAGGATGTTGCACATGTGTGACGTCACACGTGCAATAGTGCCCCCCCAATCACCCTCACAAGCCGGTGCCTCTGAGCTAGCATGACAATATCTTGGCTAAAACTTGCTTCAGGGTCCTACAAATGGCTGGCCAAGAATAACTAGGATCGCTCTGAAGTTTCTAACCCTCCCCTGCCGGAGTCTTGTTCTTCAAAGGCAAATAGAGAGGCAAAAAAGCCTCAGCAGGTGGGAGCTGAGGTTACTTTGTCCTCCCTGCTCAAGGGAGGAAGGGTGTAATGCTGGTTAAAGTTTGTGGTTAAAAGGGTTCAGTTAAAACCTCCGGCTGCAAGCTGAGAAGGCCAAATTAGAAGCTAGGCAGAGTTCTGCAAGTCTTTTCCTTGGCTTTAAAAAAGGAAACCGACACTTTTACATGTCACAGCCAGCTAAGCCCTTCTCCAGGATGCTCCATTCCATCCTCCATCCTCCCTTTTCCATTTCCCCCCGTTCCAATTAACATGTAACATCCTGTGGCTACTGAGCGTGCTCAGTCTGCATTAGTCTGTTTCCTCTTCCATTGCAATTTATTGTCTGCTTGTTTACTTGCTTGTGTCTGCAAACCTCTGGTTCTCACAAACTCGCTGTGGTCCTCTTTTGACTCCAGCCACAGAGGTGCTCTTGGGGAGCACGACTCCAGCAGTCACTTCAAGCACAGAGTTTCTGGGGCACCGGAGCAGCTCTGCCACTATTACTCCAATGGAAGATGAGAGGCGGGGAAGGGCACTGGATTTTGGCATTACACGGAGCGCCACTGAAATATGAGACACCAAGTTCTGCCACTCACCACGTCCATTTGCTATTAAAGGGAGTTATGGAAAGTAAGCTCAGGAGCTGCAAACAGTGGCACAGTTGGAAGGGATTGGTTAGTCCTTTCTTAGCCTGCCATTTGCCTGCTTAGAAAAAGAGAATCACCTTCCCAAACTGCTTTCCCATATCTGTTGGGGAAAGATACTTTTTCCACTTGTAGAGAGAAAATAGTTTCTTTGCATCTGTTTATTTCTGTGTTTCTAGCAGAGATGCACGCAAATTAGCACAAAGCAGAAGTTGGGGAGACAATTTCACTCCACAATCTTTTTTGCAGGTAAGGAGGAGAAATCATTCAACAGTTTCTTGGGAGTGGGTTCATGATTAGCAGCGACATTTGCACAATTCCTTCCTTCCTTCCTTCCTTCCTTCCTTCCTTCCTTCCTTCCTTCCTTCCTTCCATGACATCAGCAGTAGTAATTATGCTGGCAGCCAGCTTTGCATCCTCCCCAAGACATCCTTCCCAATGCCTAAGACCTAATGTCACCCCATGGCATTGTGGGGGACATGAGAATGGTGACTACCACCAAAAAAACCTTCGAATATTTGGAGAAAATTCTGCAAAGTGGCCTCCTTTTTCTTAAGGGGTAGGGTGAGAAAAAGAAGAATCTCAGAGATTTTCTCAACCCTCGCAGTATTTCGCAGTTCTCAACCCCAGTATTTCTGCTCAGCTCTAGTTTCTAGTCTTGTACCCATATCCAATCAAGATACACTGAACTTGTATGGCTAGGTGGCTGGGACTCTGCTTTTGGCATAAGCTGTACAGATTTTCCATATATAGGTTCTACACCCAAGTTATGCTAAACTGCAGAGAAGATGGGCAGGGTCAGCAGGAACAATCCCCCACTCCCCGTGCGCATTCAGTGGACACCCATGCAGCAGGTTTATAGGCTTCTTGCCTTGTTCACATCTATGCATGTAGTGTTAACCTCCGCCGTTTTTTCAGAAGGGGAACGATCAACCAAGCTCAGGGAACAATAATTGTTAAGTGCAATTCTTTAATTGACATAGAAATGGAAAATGCCTGTATGTGTATTGCTAAGGGTTTTAACAATCGGAAATTCTATTTGAGTGTGCTAAAACAAAGTTTTGAGCTTCTAGATGGGCTAAATGTTGATGTTCACTGCTCTTTCACATGGGTGTTTAACCTTAGATCATGTGATTAAGGTATTTGGTTGCAAATTGCCATTTTGAAGGGAGTTGCCTTTGGTCTTCTGTTCCCGGACACAGTGGGAAAAAGATGTGAAAATGAGTCTCTCTGGAAGATAATACAGCTCCAGGCTAACAGAGACTGTAAGGAGAGAAATACATTTGATTCTAGGTTTGTTTAGAGTTATTATATTTCTAAGAAGATGCTGAGCCTATGCTTGGACAAGTATATGTCTTAGGGAACTATCTGGATGCATTATTGATTTTTTTTTTTTTTACCTGTTTTGAATAAGTTCTGGTTAGTAAAGCTTTGAATAATACTTATGAGTCTGGACAATTTTTATTTGAAAATGAGTCATTTTTTATGCATCCATTTGCTTCAAGCTGCACAATATTAATATCTGCAGTAAGAATGGCTTTTCTCTCCTTACCAGCTGATTGGCGTTGATGGATGCAGGCAGCCACGTAGTATACAGCCAATGCAATGAGCAAAGTCAGCAGCAGATCTCCCAGCACCACGCCGGCAATGGTGCCTGGGTTGAGCTGGTAGCAGCTGCCACAGTCTGGGGAGAAACAGCAGTGGAATCATGAGACACACAGAACAGCAGCCACTAGGGTTTAAAACCCCCCCACAAACTTCTCGACTGGGGGCATTGTGAAAGGCAGGATTTAATATTATGAGAAAAAATATTAAAACTCTGGAGGGCCGCAGCTTCCCTGTCCCCACCATTGGGCAACTGTCAGCACTTGTAGGATACAACCACCTGACAAGGCTGGGTGTCTTGATAGTGAGAGACTGAAAGTAGAAACTGAAGTGTTTCACAAGGGGCTGTAAGTGGTGCAAGAATCTGGAGGAACTACAGTCAAGGAATTGAAACCTCAAAGAACAGGTGCCCCCTTGCTATATCACTGTTAGGAACTGAACAGCCTAAATAAAAGTTTCTTTATCACAGGCTCCCATATTCTGCTTGCATCATTTATTTAAAACAGTAGCAGCAGTAAATAATATGAAAGAAGGTGTGAAAAGGTTCTTACCTCTCTGGGCTTGGACAGCTCCTATGAAAAGAAAAGGAAGAAAAGAGAGAGGTTTGAGAAAAGAGAGGTTTGGCATGTTTCCCCAGGGCATTCCCACCACCATCTTGAGTCCCACCTGCACTGTATATTTAAAGCCAGTATCATGCCACTTTGTAAACAGTTATGGCTTCCCCCAAAGAATCCTGGGAAATCTAGTTTAAGGCTACTGAGAATTATTAGGTGACCCCACAAAATTTGTATTAGAGATGCATCAGTTAAACTGTTTGGAAGCTTTCTTCTTCAAAAATTACAAGCATGAGTTGCAAATAAATAAATAAATAAATAGTGGAAAAGCTGGAATTAGGCAAAATTATAGTACTATTGAAAAATGTTTTAGATTACAGGGTCTAATAAAAACCACTATATATGCATTCAGTACTTTTTGTGATGGGGTTCACCTGCCCTGAGCAGCAGAAAATTTTGTTCTGGTGCCTGTGATGTGAGTAATGGCACTACATTTTTGACCAAGGGAGGGGAAGCATTGGATACATCTCACATGTGCTGCCTTGCCCCCGCAATTGAGGGGGTCCTGGGCCATGCGAAGTCAGAATAATGATTGCTTTGCTCATGATCAGTTTCTGCACCCAGAGAATTACTGACAGGCAAAGCAACACTCCACCTCCAGGTGACTAATCTAGGAAGCTGGAATCAAACGGAAGCAGAGATGTGAACTAGACCGCAATGCTGAGGCTTCTTTGAAATTAATCTTTTCCTGTTGATTGGTAAAGGCTCGAAAGCATATCAAAGAACAATCAGATGCTTGACTGGCTGGTGATGAAAAAGGGTCCAGAATAAAAAGTCCACCTCATGGTAGGGAAATCAACACCCATCTCTAAGCCTCCTGCAGTCAGCTGGTGCTGTTGAATCCATCTGGTGGAAACTGAGGGTGAAAACTACATGTTATGTATAGTTCCGCAATTCTTTTTTGGGATAGGCTTTTATTTTTTTTAACCAATGCAGCTGCTGATGTTGCCATTTGAAGTAGAAAACCAGCAGGGGTTCCTTAATTCTCTCGCTTCACATAATTTTTCTACCAAAAATTGCCCCTCCAAGGTGTTTTCGTCTTCTTTGGAGAACTTTCCCCAGGGGCAGGAAAAACGGGGGGGGGGGGGGAAAAATTGCATAAGGGGAAAGGGTTCAGAAGCCCCGTTCCCCTATTCTGGCCTTCCACTTCTAACTGCAGCTTCATCAACTTCCTTGAGTTAAAAAAATAAAAAGGTCTCCAAAAGCAATCACCAAACTATCTAGAGACGAGACAGGGAACTTTTAATTGGCTCCCAATTCAGCCAAGTATAAAGAGATCAGTCTTCTAAGCTGTTCCAGTTTTCTTCTTTCTTTCTTTCAGACTTCACAACCCTATGGATCATAAGCGTACAAATAACAGGAAAGGCCATAATCTCAGTTACCTTTCTAAGAGTCCTGTGCGTCTTTCTCCCCATGAGTTTGTGTAAGTATGAGTGTGCATGTGCATGTGCATGTGCATGTGTGAATGCATATTAATGTGCCTGTAGATCAGCATTGGGGGGCATGTACATGTGTTTGTGTGTGTGTTAATATGTGTGAGAGTGTGGTTGGCTCCAGCCACATCTGCCGACATAACCATGTGCCTTAATGTATCTGTGGATGAACATGTCCCTTCCATCTCTTCGAGTCTGTCTATAAACAGGATAACTATCTGAAGTTACGTTTCACCCTTACTAGTTCCGCCTTATCTAATCTTGCTGATAGCACTTTCTGAGGTCTCAGGTGGATCTCCTCTTTAGCCTTTCGAGATTCTTTGGCTAGGCTGCAGACTTAAAACCTGATGGATTCACTTGGTACATGCCCATGTTGAAACTGCCTGTACATCTCTCCTCTGAACAGCAGCCCCAACAGTAAAACAAGCCAATTCCTAATCCAGGGGTGGGGAACCTGGATATTGCTGGACTCCCATTCCCATCACCCTCAGTCAACACGGTCGACTGTCAGGGGTGATGGGAGCTGCAGTCCAGAAACATCTCAAGGTCCCCAGATTCCCCACCCTGACTTAATTCATAGGACCAGTGTTGCAACTAGGCAGTTGTAGACTTTGAACTTAACAGTCAAGCACATTACCTTACTTACTTGGAAATGTGATAAGACAGCCCTGCTGCTTTCCCCCTTCCAAACTCATTCTGTAGAGTGGGACCCTTGACATCCTGCCCTAAGACCACTGACCTATAGATTAGGTCAGGCTCCTGATTTTGAGCCCCACAGCAGTCAGCGTCCCTGAATCACAAGTATCGTTGTGTGTCCTAGAGGTGGGATCATCTGTGCATGAGAGTTCACATATCATAGGGGAGGGGAAACTTTCTCAACCTAAGGGCCACATTTCCTTCTTGGCAACCTTCCAGGAGCCACATGCCCTGAGTGGGCAGGGCCAGAGGGGAAAAATGGGTGGAGCAACCAACATTAATTTTACTTTAATACAGTATGCTAATTTCTACATGGATGAACATATGTCTCTCTATCCTTCATCTAGATTTGCCAGGGGCATTGTCAAAGTTGAAAGACACATTCCATCCAGGCAAAAACAACCACGGAGGGCACAATGTGGCATGTTGACTGGCATGCTGACCATTTAGCAGCAGCAGCAGCAGCAGCAACAACATCAGAATTTCTTCTCCCACTGTCTGGTAACTTGTAAACAGGGGGAGCAGGGAGGAGAGTGGCGTAGTGAGCAGTATGGGGCATTGGTGAGGGGATGCCCAGCATGGATGCAGCACTAATCCACATGGATTATGCATGTTTTTATGCATCTCAAAGAAAGTTTATGTCCCTCTCATCACTTTTCTTACATATTGCCTAGGGAGCCCTTGCAGAGTAAGGCACCAATGTTTTATGTATTGATTTATGCAATGCTCAGGGTGTCTAAGGAGTAAGACTGCAATTCTAGGCGATGGGATGAGGAATCTGTAGCCCTCCAGAAGTTATTGGACTCCAGCTCTCATCCTCCCCGGTCTTTAGTCATGCTGGTGGAGGCTGATGGGAGTCGTAGTCCAACATCTGGAGGGCTACAGGTTCACCACTTGGTCTACAGCTCCCCCGCTCCCCCGGTAAGATCATTAAATCCAGAGTGAAAAATCACCTAGCTGAGCAACAGATGAGAATGGTGAGAGTGAATGCTAGAACATGTAGCTCTGTAGTCGAACTGATTGATGGTGCACTGAGGACAGACAAAAGGAAGCCTTCTTCAGGGGACACTTATTGGATTGAGGCACTGGAGCTGGGAGAGTGGGTTTTAAGCCTTTTCTCCATGCCATTCCCCTGATCTAATTTGCTCCTCTGCCACACAGAGGAAGCTGCTTTATAGTGAGCCTGATAAGTTGGCTTATCTAGTTTAGAATTTTCTGTTACACAGATGGGCAATGGAGCACCAAGGTTTCAGATGGAGGTCTTTCCGAGCCCTACCTGGTGATGCCACTGATTGAACTTGGGACCTTCTGAAAGCAAAGCAGGTGTCCTATTAGCTGAGTGACATACCTTCCCCAAGGAAGCTGAAAATATTGCTACAGCAGCAGAAGAAAGACAGGCATAGTAGAAGAACTTGTCTTTTTTCTCTCTTTGGTTCCCCAGTAGATAGCAGCTTGGGTGATAATGAAATTTAGACATGAGAAATGGTGGGGAGAGGTGTGTTAAACAAGCTCTCCTTCACCACAAATGCACTGATCGTGCACACTACCAGAAAGTGGTTTTAAAGTGGTTGGAGGGGAAACCAGTTTGGTGGAATCTGCTCACAGATCTCACAAGGCATGTTTGTTTTGGCCCTGAATGGCTTGTCACTTTCAGGAGATGGGCCCTTCAGAAGAGAGATAATGCCACAAGATCAGCCTGGGCTCATGACCACGGTGACACTTAAAAACAAAACCATTATCTTCAGGAAGGACTATCTGACAGGAAGAGTTGTTCAACAGTGGAACACACTCGCAAGAGAAGTGGTGGACTCCCCTCCCTTGGAGGATTTTAAGCAGAGGTTGGAATGGCTACCTGTCATGTATGAGATTCCTGCATTGCAGAGGTTTGGACTAGATGACCCTCAGGGTGCCTTCCAGCTCTAGAATGCTGTGATTCTGTCTAAGGCTGTCGACTATCAGATGCTGCAGAGAAACACAGATCTGCTTCAGATCATTCCAGAGACATCTGGCTGGTCACTGTTGGAGACAGAATACTGGGTATGATGGAATGATGCAGCGCAATCCAACCTATGTTTACTTTAAAGTCTGCTTCACTGCGTTAAGTGGGGCTTACTCCCAGGACCCATAGCTTGCTCACCTTAGACTAATCCAGCAAGGCAAGAGGCTTGTTCACACATTACACTGAATACAACTACAAGCTGGCCCAACACATATACAAGCGTTTGGGTGAAATCGTTTACACTTGTTGACTTGTACTGCTCAAATCTTCTGCGCACAAGTGTACAGGCTCTGCACTCACTGAACATTACATGTAAAAAACCGTACACCTCTGGTATGGGGTAGAGTGGTACGCTAACTGTATTTGGGTTGACCTTAGATTTGGCCGGATTGGGTTGATGTAACCCCAGATTGCCCTGAGTTGGATAGGGTCAACCCTGAGCAATTGGGGGCTTTGTAAATGTGAGGACATTCTGGCAGCAGTGAGAGCAAGGAGAAGGAGATGTGCAGGAAGCCTGTGTTTATCTCCTCCTTCTATAGCTCCCCACTGCATGTGGGTGGAAGGGGAGTGAAGAAGAAGAGGCATAGCTTTGCCTCCCTCCTTCCTGACCACATGGCTGTGCAAGGCCCTCAATAGATTTTCTTCTGAGATCCACTCAGTCCCTGATCATCCTGGGTCAGATCAGGGCCATTCCAAAGCTCCAGATCAGGCCTCAGATTTAATCTGGTGTGTGTGTGAGAGAGAGCGCAGCCCTGCTGAAGGCATCTAATATCTTACGTAGGATTGGTGCCATCCTCTGGCATTGATGGCCACAACACCCAGCTGGTACTGCTGGAATGCTTCTATCAAAGTCAGGGAAAGATCATTTCTAGAGTTCCTTCCTCTCTCACAAGATGGAAAGGGATAGAAAGAGACATAGCAGACAAAAGCTGCAGTCCTAACCTGCCCACTCCCACCCCAGTGTGGGGTTAGGATAGAGTACAGGTGCTTCTCCACTCAAACTATAGTGAGACACCGGTCACACAATGAGCCCAGGTAAGTGAGTGTACCTGTAACTCCCAAGGCTACCTCTGATCAGTGGGTGGTCTTGCCTAATCACCGATTATTCGGGACCAACTAAATAAATGTTGCTGTGGCATTTCTTCTTCTTCCTGGGGTTTTGGGCTAGTGGGTTAATGGGGGGAAACAAACAAGATATGTGTCCTATGGTGAGTTTTTTTGTATTGGAAGGGAAGGTGTGGGGAGGTCTGGCTGCTTTAGAAACTGTCATACTGATGTAAGCATTTAAAAATTTTAAGTGCGCAAGCGCAGTTACGCACACACACACGTCAGTTCTCCTTGCTCTGTATTACCGGAAATGGATGTTCAAGAGTTACACACACCAGCTAATGACTCATATACACCATGCTTGCTGGACCTGACTTGGTCTGCTTCTAACAAACAGATGTCATATCTTTATTTTTCTAATAGTACCTGAGTACAGAAGAGCAGTTTTATTGCCTGGTTTTACCCACCAATATCCTAGACAGGACAAGGATAGATGGTGTCTTTGTCCCCATTTGGAGTTTGAAACAGCGTCTCGTGTATTTTGCTACTGTAGATGTTACCAAGGGGATAGAGAACATGTAATTTATTCCCTTATGACGCAGTTTCCTAATCAATCCTTAGGGACACTTTTTTTTTTTGAGTCTCAAAGGAGGTCTAATAAATCCATAAGAGGCAGATTTAGGGGAGCGCAACCAGTTTGCCTGCACTGGGAGCCGAGAGGGTGTTGCAGGACCAACAATGGAAGGTGAGAGGTTGGGGAGGGCACCGTCTCAAACCTGGCGCTGCTGAAATGTTAAAGCTGCATCCACCACACCAGCTGAAGGAGAACTATGCTTAAGCAAAACCTTCCTGCGAGAACAGGATGTTTGAAAGCCTCAGCCCTGTTGAAAGCAAGCGGTAGTGGCCACAGATGGACTAATTTTCCCACCCCAGGTGAATGAAGGGGAAAACAGGAACTCTCACAGAAGAACATAACCACCACTGCCCCCCAGATGTTATCTGACTACAACTCCCATCGTCCCAACCATTGCCCATACTGCCTGGGGCTGATGGGTGTTGAAGTCCAAAAATACCTGGAGATTTCCATGTTGGCTGCCCCTGGGTTAGAGGCTAGCTGCTCAGCTTCCTGCCCTGCCAGCCCCAAAACATTCTCCAATCTACAGCACCGAGACTCAGGCTGCATACACGAAATATATACGCGCATTGGAATCACACCTTTTTCAAAGAATTCTGGGCACTGCAGTTTGCCCCTCGCAGAATTACAAATCCCAGCAACCCTTAACAAACTACAGTTCCCAGAATTCTTTGAGAGGGGAAATGTGCTTTGAATGTGATTTAAAAGGATAGTGTCTATGTCACCTCAGACCTGGCGATGCAATGTATTTAAGGTTACTGCTCAGGTTGGGCTCCTGCCCTGTTCACCCTCTTCCCACAATCACTTTTCTCTCTGCTAAGGGAGAAGATAAGCCGAGCCGCTGGCACCCAGGGGAGTCTTTGTGGGCCCTCTGTTAGAGCATAGTAACAAGGCAAGCAATTAAGCTGATGTTTTTAAATGGCAGTTTTTAAACTGAACACGGGAACATAGGAAACTGCCTTATACAGAATCATCTAGCTCAGTTTTGTTGACGGTCACTGGTAGCTTCAGGCAAGCTTACTTCCCAGCCCAGCCTTCAGATGCTGAGGATTGAAACTGGGGTATTCTGAATACAAAGCAAATGTTAAAATGTTGAGCTAGGATCCTTCCCCAAAATAAAATGAGAATGAGTACAAAGCTGATTGAGCAACACGGGGAGGTAGAAAAAGAGAAAGAATGGCTGAAACAGTCACACACAGTCATATTGTTCACGTATGTGTCAGTTGCCCCTAAATTTGGGGGAAGAAAATATCCTAGTGAGATTATGGGCACGGGAAGCTGCTAGAAACCGAGAGAAGGCAACAAGTGATGGTCTGATAGAACTACCTGTGAGTTTGTGCGGGGTGTGTGTGGAAGAGGGGAAGATTCAAGTCTAGCTTGTTGTGTTAGTTTGGGACGGACACAACAACCTTTGGGCAAAGGTTGGAGGTGTACTTTAGGGCAATTTGTCCCAAGCTCTGACAAGAAAAACTGTGCAGCCCAAGACAATGCAGAGATGTCGCATTTGTTGAGAGTTGTTTGGTTGGTCAAGGGCTGTTCATAGCCAAGGAAGAAGAGTCACAGTAGGCAGAGGAGGAATCAGGAAGTTCAGAGGAGGCTGAAGAGATGGGAAGTATTTGATCCAACTCACCCAGCTGTGCCCAAACCAAGCCCAGAAGAACATGGAGGACAGGGAATCCTGGAGAGCCCATGGCGAAACCTCCTAAATTGGGGATCAATCTGACGCTGACGTCTCCCTGGCTGAGGATGATCCGATTCCGGGTTCCCAAGGGTGCGGAAGCCAAACCCCCAGAGACAGCAGTGGTTGTTTCTGGCTGAAGAGCAAGGAAGGAGAACTTGAAATTGCTTCAAGCAGGAAACCTCAGAAAAGGGGAAGGGAGATGTCAGAGGGGCGGGAGTCAGATTGTGGGCCGTGATCTACAATCTAGTCCACAATCAGAATGGAGAGAAAAGAGACCAAAGGACGAGATGTCGCTGCTCACCCACCTCACCAATTCCATCAACTTAAATGGACTTGAAGATGCCTCGGAAACTTCAGCTAGTCCAAAACACATCAGCCAGATTCCTGGCTGGGCTTCTCTGTAGAACTTGTGTAACTCCTGTTTTAAAGCAGCTACGTTGGTTGCCAGTTTGTTTCCAGGCCCAATTCAAAGTGTTCGTATTAGTGTTTGACGTTCTAAAGCAACCCAGGCCCCAAATATATGAAATACTGTTTCTTTCCTTTCTGGTGTTAAGATCAGCAGAGGAGTCTTCTTCATAGTTTGGCTGAGGGACTCACCTGCTGCTGAGAGCCTGAAGGGCCTTGCCTGCCTCCTTCCATCTGGGCAGAGAGGGCTCTGTTTTTGTTTTTTAAATTGCTTTTATTTTTGTATCTATGCCATTTTAAATTGTAATTGATATGAATGCTGTATTCTTAGTTTTAGATTTTATGATTTCTGTGGAAATTGTTTTCCATTTGGTTGTGCACTTTTTGATGTGTTTTAGTTATTGCTTATGACTTTTGTTACGTTGGTAATTATGTAAATCTTGTCATGTTGTAAGCAGCCTTGAGCATTGTTTTAACTATGGAAAGACGTCATACAAATAAAATGATGCTGATGATGATGCCGCCCTCAGAGGTTTGGGGGTGGTGGCCTGAGAGAGGCCATTCTCTTTGGCACCTCCTAGGTTACAAATTCCCTCCCCGCAGAATTGTATCTGGCACCATCGCATGCTGAAGATGCAACTCTTTCCCTTGCCCTTTGACACCTGAGATATGTGAGGACCCACCCTAATCTTGTGGCTGTAATTTAACTGTTTTTAATATTGACTTTTCAATGGCTTTGAGTCCCATCCAGGAACCTGATAGCAAAGGGTGGGTAGTAAATCGAAACAACAACAGCAACTGAATTTTAACACCGATGGGATGTTTTCTACCACACCAGAGAGCAGCAGGCTAGCTAGGTGATAGAGCAGAGGCCATGTGGCACACACAAGATTGTCCCCAATATCTTGCTGTCACTCTGGGGGGCCCACCAACTATTGCCTGGTGTCAGTGAGAGTTTAATCCCATGTAAATGAGTCAAAAATTGCTGCCTAATTGTTTTGCTAATGTATAAATATTATCCGTCTTTATTAATGCATTTAGAATTTTGTTAAGACAATTGCTGTGCTTGCTACTTGTTAAATCCATTGTGTCTGTTTCAAGCAGGGGTGTGGACCTGTGGCCCTCCAAATGTTGTCGCACTCCAACTCCCATCAGGCCCAGCCAGCATGATCAATGGTCAGGGATGAAGGGAGCTGGAGCCCACCAACATCTGAAGGGCCACAGGTTCTCAACCCTTATTTAAACCACGTAGAACGGACATGCCGTTTCTTCCTGGTGTAATCCTGGCTCACATGTAGCCCTTGAGTGGTGTCCTTCACGTTAATTTCCAAAGAAGAGTTTAAAGAATTGTACTGACAAAAAAGGGAGCATTGGACACTTTGTGTAACTATACACCCTAGTCCAGTGATGGCCAAACTTGGCCCTCCAGCTGTTTTGGGACTACAACTCCCATCATCCCTAGCTGACAGGAACAGTGGTCACTGCCCTAGTCCTTTCAAAATGTTATTTTTTTCGTGTGCTCTTTATCTTTCATATTATGAGCTAATTTCATTTGGATTATGACACACCTGTTCTAATGGTACTCTCAAGTCAAATGTCACATGGCCTTCATTTGGTTGTTTGATTTCCCCCCCCCTGTTCTGGATATATTTGACATCCAACACATTTACAAAAGCACACATTTATTTATTTATTTAGTATCATTGAGACTGCCTTTTGCTACCAGGGATGAGCTTCCACTAGAGAAACTAACCAGCCAACAAAAACTGGATTAAAATGTTCCACTAGAGGTTTCTTGCAGAACATTTTAATCCAGTTTTTGTTGGCTGGTTAGTTTTGTAATTGTGATGCATTATCTTGTATAGTTTTTGTTTAAAACTGAAACTAATTTTGAAGGAAGATTCACAAGACCTGTTTCCTAACTCAAATGCACCTGCCACAATTCAAATGTATTTATTCTCCTCAATCAAGGCACTTCTAGACGGTCATTATTTTCAGGTGGGATACAATCTCTGGCAAATTCAGGCTGCACAATAATTGTTGGTTGGGAGGTGTTGTGCAACAAACCCACTTCCCCAAACGATTGAATTTTTATGTGATAATGAGAGTGGGGGAAGGACGAGATGCGAGATGAGTGGAAATTGTGAGATAACACTCGCTTGGAAGCAACTGCCACCTAAATTCCCTGCAAACAAATGAGAAATAATGCTCATTAGATAGACAAATCAGGATGAATCTTCAGTAAACTGGGCATCTGGAAACACCCTCAGTGTTTTCCTCATCATTATCAGGGATTGATTAATAATTTTTGAGATTTAAGTGTTTTTTTTAAAATAATAATAATAAAAGTTGCAAAATTTAGCAAGTTAATATGTCACAACCTTCCTCTTAAATTCCTCAGCAAGAGTTAACATTTTCATTCATTAATATCCCTCAGAATGTAAATATCAGAAGCCAAAATGTTAAACTTGTAGTCAGATTTAAATTCTGCAATGTCGTAATGGGGACCTTAACTGTTTTATTGGTCTTCCAACTGTAGGTGGCACTGTGTCCGAACTGTGCCAGTCAGCAAAGCTGCTGTTCTAGACAGTTCTTAGCAATAAAGCTGTTCAGTAATGCCTGCATTTTGGCCTGGCCTTTTCTCAGAAATAACTTGACATGGTGTCAGACGTCTAAGCCTGATACCAGGGATGGGGGACCTTTTTTTCCCAGCTCAAGGGCCACATTATATTCTAAGCAACCTCCCAGGGGCCACATGCCATGGTGGTTAGGCCCAGAAGTAAAAGTGGGTGGAACAAAAATGTTAAGTGTCTCACACATCCCTATCAGTTATCCATTCAGGCGACAAAGGCCATATTCCAGCTAGGAATGGAGGGTTACAAAGCAGGGCCCATGAGGGGCTTGGCCTGAAGAGAATATTGTGATTGCAGAGGGGGGTGGCCTGGGGAGAGTCCTGAGGGCCTGATTGAAAGCTCTGGAGGGCCACATTGAGAGCCCTGAGGGCTAGATAGAGAAGTCTGGACGGCCACATTGACCTCCCCACTCTGAGCCTGCCATCCCTACTTTAAACCTTTTATAAGAAGAAGAAGAAAAGAGTTTGGATTTGATATCCTGCCTTTCACTCCCCTTCAGGAGTCTCAAAGCGGCTAACATTCTCCTTTCCCTTCCTCCCCCACAACAAACACTCTGTGAGGTGAGTGGGGCTGAGAGACTTCAGAGAAGTGTGACTAGCCCAAGGTCACCCAGCAGCTGCATGTGGAGGAGCGGAGACGCGAACCCGGTTCACCAGATTACGAGACTACCGCTCTTAACCACTACACCACACTGGCTCTCTTATAAGTTGCTTGTCATCGCGTAGTGGACAGACTGGAAGGAAATATTTCATCATTTCTGCACAGCGACAAAGCTCCACAAGGAAGGGAAGTTCCCCCGTCATGTCATGTGGAAAGGAAGCTTCACATCCTTCACCCTTGCCGTTAATGTGAGAGATAGATGAGGTACAGTGGTACCTCGGGTTACATACACTTCAGGTTACAGACTCCCCTAACCCAGAAATAGTACCTCGGGTTAAGAACTTTGCTTCAGGATGAGAACAGAAATCATGTTCCAGCAGTGCAGCGACAGTGGGAGGCCCCATTAGCTAAAGTGGTGCTTCAGGTTAAGAACAATTTCAGGTTAAGAACGGACCTCCAGAATGAATTAAGTACTTAACCTAAGGTACCACTGTACCTTATTTTAAGGAATGTAAAGGGAAAAAATTCCGGGGTGAGAGACTACTCAACAGCCCAGCTCGTCGGGGTGCAAGTCCCCCACAGGTCTATGCGATCAGTAAAAGAAGGAAGTTCCAGCCAAGTAATTTGGAGCAAAACAGCGGTCTGTAGACCATGATCTTTATTGTTGCGCAACAGGTCCCCACAGGAGTAAGAACCCTGAGCATTGGGCGACATCCTCTTTTAAAACTTCCCTCTTTCCTCCAGAATAGACTTTGAGCAGCATCATTGATACATCATCACTACATCACTAGCTTGTCACAAATGGGGAGGGGTATACAAGGGTTACACAAGCTCAACATTAGGTCACTTTATCAGACACCTTTCCCAACACCTCTTAAGTACTCATCACCAAAAGTACAATAAAACTCTTTACATTTCCTTGCCCTCAAGACTTGTCTTGAGATGGGCTTTCAGAACACCCGACTTGCTAAACTGCCTCTGTGGATATCTATTGCTGTCCCCTTGGTCACTCCCTGGGTGGGGTGCCGAGTATGTGCTCTCAAAATTGGGGAATTATGGCGGTATGCCCTGTCCCTGCTGCCTACGTGACTTCCTGCTTCTTGGTTCATGTAATGTGTATGGGTTGCTCGTGCGTAAGTTGCCGCCTCTCCAGGCTTTGTTGCCTTGCTAAACCTTTCAGTCTGGGCAGCCCTTCACTTTGTGGCTGCCTCAGTCGCTAGCAGAATCCGTCAGTGGGCGTTTCTTAAATCTTTTCCAACATAAAAGTTGTTTGACACCCAGTCTCCTCCTACTCTCTCTGCGCGGAAGTCTTCTGCGCAGGGTGGGCGTGGGTAGCGGGGGACCCGTGCTCTCCCCGCTGGTGTCCGGTGAAGAGTCTGGGAGCCCTCTCGCCGATTCCCCCATCTGCCCCCCTTTATTCCTGGTGTTGCGCTGATTTGCTTCCCCATCTGCGGAGCTGCCTCTCTCCCTGCTGGGCCCTTCTCCAGCATCATTTGAGAGC